GTTGCCTTCTTAGAACTAAGTAAATTAGTGATTACACTCCACATAATGAGAGCTAGGACTGTCTTTAATCGAGATGAGAATCAGACATAGGAAAAGGTGCAAAATAGGAGGAAACTTGCGGACTTTTTAAAAAAAACACCTTTTTCTTATATTTTTAGATTCTTGTGTGTTTGTATGAGTTTTTAATTTTTTTGGAAATACTTTTAAACTTAAAATTTTAAAAATATAGAAAAGATGCTTCACATAGACTCTTCCTCCAGCTTGCTCTAATGTCAGCATCATGCATAATCACAGTGTAAGTATCATAACCATGAGATGAACATAGATATAATGTTATTAGCTAACTCCTTTAAAATACCATATGGATTTCACTGATTTTCCCATTAATGTCATTTTTGTTTTATATTACAAGATAAAATTCAGGTTTCTTTATTTTATTTGGTCATCTTGTCCTTGATATCTTTAAATCCGTGACAGTTTTTCACTTTTGTTTCTCCTTCATGGCCGTGAAACTTTTGAAGCTTACTGGCCAGTTATGTTGAAGAATGTCCTCCCAATTGAGTTTCTATGATGTTTACTCTTGATTTAATTCACAGCATTAATTTTTGGCAAGAATAATACAGATAAGATGTATCCTCAGAGCTTCATAGCAGATGTTACATAATGTCAACATGTTTTATCGACATAATAAATGAATATGATCAATGAAATCCCTTTTGGAAGGACGTCTTGGAGAAAAATAATGAAAACAACTGCTTCCATCCCTCCTTCTACTTGGTCATTTGCAGACGTCATTAGGAATAGTCTATTTCTTCCTTTTCTAGTATGTACTTTATTTTTACAGACTTTAATCCTTTTACAAACTATTGAACCTTAAAGAAAATTGAAGAAATAATTTAGTTCACTTTTTAATGGCAAAAGTTTTCACAATAACCAATTGCCACTGAAATGTTGATAGCCTGAAGAAAGAAAAAGAATGGGATTTATTCAGCCATGGTAGTATCTTCGCATGAATACCTTTTACTGAGTCAACTATTTATATAAATAAATAGAATTTTCTACTACTTAGAATGTTGTAGAATTTGAATGGAGCAGTGTAGCATGCACTGAGCTACTTCTACTGGGAAAGTGAAGAACCACTGGGGCTATTTAAGGATTCATACAGTGAGACATCATTTCTGGAAACCTGGAATTCTGGTGCCTCAGTTGAAGAGAGTCCAAGAATCAAAGTGCAAATTGTTCAAGGATTTTTTTTTTTTAGAATCACAAAATATCCAAATAGAGCAGAGATGCTAAAACTGAGTGTCCACCACACTAGCTGTCAGTAAAGGAAGCAGCTGGTATAATCTAGTAAACACTGATGGTTTTGTTGAGGTTTTTGTTTCAGGTTGAATCGCTGTGTGAGGCCAGTTTCTCGCTGCAGACAGAAATAAACTGCAAAATCTTCAGGCTCCAGGCTGCTGATGGTGAGAGTGAAGTCTGTCCCAGACCCGCTGCCACTGAACCTGGCTGGGATGCCAGCGGCCCTGCTGGATGCACCACAGATGAGGAGCCTGGGAGCCTGCCCAGGTTTCTGCTGGTACCAGGCTAAGTAGCTGCCAACACTCTGACTGGCCCTGCAGGAGAGGGTGGCTCTTTCCCCTGGAGACAAATACAAGGTGGCTGGAGACTGCGTCAACACTGTTTCTCCGGTGGTATCTGAGATTGGAAAGAAAACAGAAATGCACTCATGTAATCGAGATCAAGAGTAGAGTCAAAATTGTTGATCTACATTGAATTTATTTATATTTCTTGCTGAGCAGAGGTGGCAGGAGTTTTCAGTGATGTGCAAAACCACGTTATGTTCCCCTCACCTGGGAGCCAGAGCAGCAGGAGGAAGGGAAGCTGTGCTGGGGCTTCCATGGTTCCCTCTGGGTCCTAACTGAGCAGTTCCTCCCCAGAGCTCTGACCCAGGCATTGATATGGGCTCTGGAAGGTAGGGCAGCTGGGAGGGACATGCAAAGCAGCTGGGGTGGGAGCTGAGCTTCCAGCTGCAGGGACCACCTGCTTCTTCCTCTCTGCACTGAGCATCCTGCACCTCCCTGGTTGTCAGGTCAGAAAAGTCTGTTGGCTCAGTCTGAGTGTAGAACTTCCCCCTTTTGCTCACAGAATTTCACTCCTGTGTCTTTCTTCTCTTCAGTCACCCAAATTCACCCAGAGACTATTTGGTACAAGCCTGTTAATAATAATATAGAAGGCTGCGTTTTCATTTCTCTCGTCCTATCCTCAATATGGCCAGTCATCTCCCTAAGTGCACTATTGGACCCATTGAAATGAAGACTCTGGTAGAACTTAATCTTCCAGATACACCTTTCATTTGCTTGTTAGTAATGTTTTGTGAGGGTCCTGAAGCTTTCCATCAACTCAAACACATACCCTCTTTGAGTTCAAAAGTTAAAACTTCTGTTTACAGTCACATGTCCTGGCAGGCCCTGATATAGATGCTCCATGGCTTGCCGATTGCTTGAAATTAATCAAGCAACTCAACTTCTCTGTGTCTCTGTTTCCATATCTGTATAACTGTGACAATAATTGTACCTACCTTACAGTGCAGTTGACAGTTTAAATAAAATAAGATAAAATATTTACAATAGTATTCAGGACGTTATGCATGTGACAATTAATTTTGCTTTTACTGTTTAAATATTCAGCACTACAGTCATCACCATTATCATAAATATACTTA